AAGAGTGTACAGAAAAATATGAAAACCTGGGATACAATTCTCTACTTAAAATGGCTATCTGTAGCTGGGATACTGTTTCAGGGGGGAAAAAGAAAGGCTTATGGACTGGATCTCTCTCCAACTTTGGGAGATATTGCACAATGTTTTTTATTGTACAAGTATTTAGCCTCATATCATTGCATCCATGGGACGTAGCTGTAGCGCTTAACAGCTGTTCCTCCCAACTCAGCATTTCTTTGAATCTAAGCTTTCAAAATTAAAATGCTCTTTAAACCCAAAAAGTTAAAAGCATATTCAAGTATACTGTGAGATTAAATTTTCCGTTCTGCTTCTCCAAAGGCTTTTCACTGGTGCTTTTATTTGACACGTTTACTTTTCTATATTTCTCCACGCTGTCTGTCTGTCTTGCTGTCTGTACATTTTGCTGCCCACATACCATGAAGAATTTAAGCTTGAATTTCAGGCTGGAGGTACGTGATGAAGGTTGGTACTCTACTGCAAACATGAGCTTGTGCCCAGCGCAGGGGCTGGCGGGGAGGGCTTGCCCCACCTTTCTGTGGAGGGGAGAGGGAGGGAGGAAGAGGGTGGTGGTAGCAGGGATGCCTTTTCCTTGCCCTTCTCACCTCTGGCTTGCCCTAAGAGGGAGAGAAGGAAAAGCAGGCGCCGCTGATGCAGGAGGATGTAGGAGGGCTGAGGGGGGTAGAAGGCAGCTTGAGATGGGATAAGTCAGCGCTGTAGGCGATTGCTACTGATGTGGGGAAAAGCAAGTCTTGTGGCGGTCCTCCAGCAAAAGAAGACCACACAGTGAGGAGGTGAGGTGATTTTAGGAGAAAAACAGGAGAAGTTTAGGGACAGCAGAGTCTGGGATGAATTTACAGTGTGCAGAGCCCGCAGAGAAGGGAAGCAGTTCAGCGCGGCGGCCGAAGGCTGTGGCAGCGTGGTGTGACAGCCATGGCATTTCACGTAGAAAGAGAGGCGAGGAGATGCGAATGTAAGGTCTCATTGCCTGCGTTACGCGCGTGGGATGCACAGCTTTCACAGCAGATTATTTGAGGATTTCGACAAGTGTAGTCAATCTTGTCTTGGCAGGACATTTGCACCCTGACTCCCGGATCCACTGCCCACCATCAACATTTCCGCACGCAGGGTAAATAACTCCGCATGAAGAGCACCCCAGAGGTTCCCTGCTCTTGTGCACTGCGTGTCCAACCTACCCACTTATCCCGAGGAGCCTGGGGGAAGCTCTTCCACCACCTCTCGATTCAAACCCTAACCGCTCAGAGCAACTCACCCCTTAGCCCGCGAATACATGGACAGCGTAAGAAGTCCCTGTTGGCTTGAATCTCTGACAACAAATGCGCCTTCTTTGGACTGAAAAGAAATCCAAGTAGAGTTATTTTCTGCTTTTGAGTTTTAATAAACCTCCCTGGAGATAGGATTTGCAGCTGATTACTAAATTCTGTGGAATATATATGACTACTTGGGAGGGGGATAAAGCAGTGGAGAATGGGAATTGATAGCCAGGTATGTAGCAGAGCAAAATTAACGGAGGGAAAATACTAAGTGCCAGCCAATTTCCTGGAGTTAAAAATTTAAGGTGAATTATTCTCTTCAGTGTGAAGTAGTGCAAATACTTTGATTTACTAAAAATTCAAATTGTACAAATCACTAGGAAAAAAAATACTGTAAACCCATTCCACCTGAGATGTTTTTCCCTGGTCCATCTTGCCCAAGCCCTGGTTAGTCCTTGAGCAAAGACCTAATGAGTTTAACTGAGTTAGGCACTTTGGTAACTGATAGAGGGTAGAACTCAATATGGATTGTTTGCTCTGTACACAAGGAAGACACAGGGGTTTTGTTAAGCTCTGTCACCTCACTAACTTCCTTACTACACAGATTTCAGTCTTCAGTTCTTCATCCAAAAGACAAGCACAGTAAACCGCATGTAGTTCAATATATCTAGTACGGAAAATCTAAACCAAATTTGCTGGGGCTACAGCCTAAAACTCTGTGAAGTCTGGATAGTCTGCACTGTACACTTACCCCAGAAAGCCTTTTTAATTTAAAGTACTCTCTCCTACTGCATACCAAACAGATTTGGATTTGACTGTGGTAACGCTCTTGATGCCTCTACTGATAGACCTGCCCAAGTATTGTTAGCTCTTTGTAGAAGCTGAGTTACCTTCTGGCGCAAGAGAAGTTCTGCCTGGCTTCTGTTTATGTTTTTGCAGTACCACCTGCAACAGGGAGATAATCTATCCTTTAATTTCAGACAGTAAGAATTAGTGTTTGCTCTGTTTCACAGAATTTACCCATCTTAATAATCGCACTATTCCCAGTCCAAAAACCTGAATAGAACTATCGTATATAAACATCTCTTAATTTGGAATGACTTTATTAGACCATTGTAACTGTGACATTCACTGTGATTAAATATGAGCTCAAACAAAAGAAAGCCCAGGAAACAGTTACGCCAAGTAACTCTCCAGTTAAGTGGGTTGAAGTGGTTGGAATTAGCTTGTAGTCAATTAATTACATGTCCACAAGAGGAAGAGCTCAGAATATAGAAACATTATATAGTGAGTCTACGGAAATAGGAAACATCTGGATTCTGACATTATGATTTATGCAAATGAATGTTGTTGAAGTGCTCAGCGTTTGTAACTTCACGTTACATTCTCTAAGCAAATAGTTCCAAATCAAAATGGTTAATCCATTCTAAGAGTAATGTTTTGTAACAAAAAAACAGAGCTTTTGATAAACACCTGTTCACATCTAATGAAGATTGAAGGATCAAGCACTGAAATGTATCGCTGCAATCCATTTTTAAAAAAGAAAGCACAATTATCATTTTCAAGGGTACTTACTCATATGTTTCTAAATTACTTCTCTTGTTCTCAGTAACATAGTTGCTGGGAATTAGACCTTCATTCCTGGAACAACATATTGGAGATAATGTTATAGTACGGTGTAAAATATTGATAGGATTAAAATATATATCTTTCTTTTGTTGAATGACAAAGGTTCCTTATACTATTGGTTATGTCATTAGATACTGAATCCCAGCGTGGGAACTGAATAGAAGTCTGAGTCCATTCATGCCAGGTACAATCTTTCTGCCCCACAGCTGTGGATGGCTACTGAAATGAGAGTGTCAGCTGGGATAGATATTTATAGAGTGCTGTCATGCACTTTAAGTAATAAAAATTTTCATTTCATTTCAAATCAAAAGAAAATTTAGAAAATAAATCATATTTCTTCTGAATCAGAAGCCATCATCTTCATTTCTAGCCTATACAAAGATTTTATATGAAGAAACATGAAGCGTACGCTTGCAGGTATATACAAAATAATAACCAGTGTACTCTCGCTGCAAATATGAGTTGAGAAAAGGCATTTTAAAGTATTTAAAGCAGGAATTTGAATGAAAAGGAGACAGTTATTTTATAATATCTAACCGTTCCCAACCTCAGAGTACAGGATACACTGAAGAAAGTGCAAAGGAGAAAGGGGAACAACATGAAACAAACGTAAACACGGAAAGGATCCTAACTGAAGTTACCCAGCTCCCTAAAACGCCAAGGAGTTTTGGATGAGGGGTTTTGTTTCACACATCTTAATAATCTCTATGGTCTTTATGAAGTGTTTACACATATACACTGCATTGTAAAGCACCTGAAGCATGGAAAGCTGGATTTGGACATAGCTCAGAGCCCAGTGATTCACATGGCCCTCAAACGCCCTTATGTTGCTTGGGAAATTACTGAGTCTAGGACTTAACTCTGCGTTCCCAAGAGATTCTAGATCCCCCACCCATTTCTGGGGTGCCAAACACAGCTGAAAGTCTGCCCGGTCAACCTGTGTGCCTTGTACGTAGCCGAAGGCTTTCAAGCCTGCCCCTAAATTGTTGCACATGTCTCGTGCCATCTGCCCGCTTTCACAGGGGTTGTTTTAGGGTTTTTTCTTTCCGTGTAAGGAGATTGAAATAGATGCCCATGCTCTTACCCATGTTGGTCTCTTGCCTTCCACCAGTGGGGATCATACTGTTCGAGGATAATGTATTCTTCTGACTTCTTGAGCGCTAAATCTGAGGGTCCTCTAGCAAAAAAGTCATAAAGCGCAATAACTCTGGGTTTTTTTGTATAGTCTTCCAAAGCCTTGGCAGGTAGAGGAGGTAATGGCTTGTTCTTTAACTGCAATTGCCTCTTTTGCTAATGAAAAAAAAAAAGGATCTTTCATAATTAGTCTTTTCTCTCTACTATTTCTTGCTTAAGTGCCCTGCTATTATACCATCTCAGTAACTAAAAGGAACTTATCATGGTCGTTCCTTCCCCTTGTAAAGCACTATCACCTCATCACTTGTAAAACAGCGAGACTTGCATTTTAGTAGTTTGGCATCGAAGCCAAAATGGCAGTGGAAAGTACAGTCAATAATAAACAAGCCATCTGCCTAATCAGAGTGACTTCTACATGGTATGAATGCTGGGACAACTCCACAGCTGGTGTAAAAGCAGAACAGCATTGAAATCAGTGGAGTTACAATGTCTGGAAATTTGGCCATTTATCTGAAGAAATAACACGGAGGGCACT